GGGGGGGGGGGGGGGAGATCTTGTTAGCCCAATAGCTAATGGAATAGTGTACGCCCAACAACCCAGATTGGATTTAGGCCGATCTGATGGTCACGATTGCATTTCGCATTTGAATTTAAATCTTTTTTCTACAAATCTAAATCACTTGAAATTTGAAGCGTCCACTCTTCTAATCAAGGCACACCTAAGTAAAAGTATTTAAAAATTATTAGCAAAATAATTTGACCAAAATAGCCTCGTAATTTTCAGGGGGATTTTGAGTTGAAATTAAAGTAGAAAAGAAAACAGTTTGGTAGGATCTAGAGAGATGAAGAAGAAGGAGAGAGAGGACGTGTGAGAGATAGAGAGCGCAAGTGAGTGGCATAGGGGTCACTTGTGACCTCTACCCCTCTTATAACATTAAGTAATAACCCTAATTACAACCTATGGGCAATACTGTTCTTATTTAGAGGCATAAGACAAATAAGGACTAAAACACAAGGTAAGTGACGTTTGCACCATCAAATACAATAAAGCTTATCATATAATCTTGCTTGTGATATCATATAATCTGTCCCGTCCAATGGCTTTGGTGAAGATATCTGCAAGTTGATCTTTAGACTTCACATGAGGAGTCTGAATGATCTTGATAGAAGCCTTCTCTCTGATAAAGTGATAATCTACTTCAATGTGTTTAGTGTCCTTTCATGAAAAACAAGATTTTCTATGATATGAATTGCTGCTTCATTGTCACAATATAGTTATTGGAAGCTTAACTCTAACACCACCTTACTTCGCACGTACCATGGGTAACCACGCTAACTGCATAAGAAATGTCTAGTCGAGTGATTGTAAGATATATAAGTTTGCCCACTATTCGTTGAAACTGATTAGAATCTTTGAGTAGCTCTCCCCTTTCTCCATGAAGTTTATCATTGACTTCTATAGGAGTATCTACAGGTCTAGATCCCAGCATCCCCATTTGTTGTATCAAGTCCAATACATATTTTCTCTAAGAGATGACTATCCCTTTCTTTGATCTCACCACATCAATTCCCAAAAAATACTTAAGGGATCATAAATCTTTGATATCAAACACATTGCTTAAATAAGATTTAAGATCCTCAATGCCCTTCACATTATCCCTTGTACAACAATATCACCAACATACACAATAAGGGCAGTAATTCCAACCATCTTCACAAAGAGTATATAATCAGCTTGACACCTTTTGAACCCAGATTTCATCGGTGCCTCTTTGAATTTTTAAACCATGCTCAAGGAGACTGTTTCAGTCCATATATTGCCTTCTTTAACTTGCAAACCTTTCTCTGTCTTTCCCTTAATCTGAAAACTAGGTGGCATGGCCATAAACCTTTCTCTGTCTCATGGCCATATAGATTTCTTCTTGGATGTTTCCATGTAAGAATGGATTCTTAACATCTCACTGATGGAGTGGCCACAATTTATTCGGAGCTAGTGAAAGAATGATCCTAACAATGTTCAACTTGGCCACAGGCGTGAAAGTGTCTTGGTAGTCTATACCAATCTGAGTGAAAACTTTGCAACCAATCTTCCTTTGTATCTTTCAATGGTACCATCAACTTTGTATTTTATAGGGAATATCCATTGACATCCCACAACCTTTTTCCATACAGGAAGGTTAGTTATCTCCCATGTTTTATTCCGCTCAAGTGCTCACATCTCGTCACCCATGGTAGCTTGTCATTGAGGTTGTGAAAGTGTTTCTATTGGATTTATGGACTTTCAAGGCCTTAAGCTAAGATTCTCTCGCTCAGTAAGAGTGAGTCAGAATGAATGTGGGTGCTTGGCGCATTGAGGCCCAGATTCATATGCCTTGAGTACATGAGGCAATGAATGTTTTACAATTTAAGCGAGAGAAATCTCTCAGAAAGTGTGAGGATCACCTCCGAGTCAGGGTTATGTTGATGAGTATACCTCATGGTTGGAGCAATTAGCAAGGGCTAAGAGAACCAAAAGAGTACAAAAGAACCCGAGTATTTTTTGAGTATCGGCCCTGTGCAGGGTGTTCGTGACCTATGGGACATGAGTCCATACCTTGACACGAGACCACCCTATGGCATGTGCACTTACAGTCGCATGGGAGTCCACTCTTCTGATGTATGATCCGACTAAGAAGAGGCAGTGCACATGTGTGTTGAGAGGACTCTTGTGCGAGAGCACTTTTGTGTATCATATGGGTGCACCAGTAATCCATTGAGAATCCGATGATGGAAAGCTTGATTGGGGTGACTATGATGAGGCCGGATTATGTGTCCCTACCATAGACTTTCGAGCATAGGCTTGTTGGGTCATCTCGAAATAAAGTAGACCACTCCCATGCCTAGATCTAAGCCTAAACATCTCATTGACCAATTGTCCCATTTTATTATGATGAGAAAATGTATATTTATGGCGGAAAATCATTCATTCCCTTGGAAGGAGCTAGCTTCACTTGGTCAAACCATCCCCCCAACCCCACTTTATCCAAACTCGATCGCTTCCTGATCTACCCTTCCTGGGATTTTATTTTCCTAGGAGCCCACTCCTCTGTCTTACCCAAGCCCACCTCAGATCACAAACCCGTTCTCCTCGACACCAAAGCTATCTTTTGAGGCCCCAAGCCTTTTTGCTTCAAACTCACGTGGTTGGAAGAAGTTGAGCTGCATGGATTGCTTTCTCTATGGTGGGCATTCTACGCCCCCTCAGCCATCGGTTGGGCTGGCTTTAAGCTGCAACGCAAATTTCAATTGCTGTGCTGTTCCCTCAAAAAATGGAGCCAAAACCTTGCTGGAAATATTTTGTCCCAAACGTCTAATTCTCTCCAAGCAATCAAGGAATGGGACCCTCTTGGAAGTATCCAGAAATCCTTCCCCCTTTGAGGTCACCGAGAGAACTAATCTCAAGATTCTTTATTAATCCATCCTCAACAAGGAACCAATCTATTGGTTTCAACGCTCTAGGGTCAAATGATTGAAACTTGGGGACCAAAACACAGCCTTTTTTCCACAGAATTGCAAATTGTAGAAGAAGAGATAATGCCATATCTCAAATCAAATCAGGTACCCACACCTTTGTGGAATCTCTCCAAGTTAAAGCCTCTGTCATCGAGTATTTCAAAAACCTTTTTCAAGTCAGCAATGTTCCCAAACCTAGAATGTTGGACCTCTCCTTCAACATCATTCCCAATGAAAAAGCTGCTTAGTAAGAACGACCTTTCTCTGAAGAGGAAATTGTGAGGGCCATCTCACAGCTAGGCCTAGCCAAAGCCCCGGGCCCCGACGGCTTCCCAATAGCCTTGTTTAAACATTTCTGGGTAACTCTTCACCTTGATCTCATTGCTTTCTTCCGCGAATTTCGTGAACGGGGCATTGTCCACAAAGCAATGAATGCAAGTCTTATTGCACTCAAACCCAAAGTCGAAGGTGCCAATGAAATGAAAGATTTCAGGCCTAGCTCTTACAAGATTCCATCCAAGGTGCTAGCCTCGCGGTTAAAGGAGGTGATGGGTTGTGTTATTTCTCAAAACCAAGGTGCTTTTGTTAACGAGCGGCAAATTCTAGATGTGGCTCTTATCGGCCACAAATGCATTCACTCCCGCCATGTGGCAAGATTGCCGAGTCTCATTGACAAAGCTTACGATCATGTGGATTGGGACAAGTTGGAGGAAACTCGTAGGAGAATGGGTTTTGGCCAAAAATGGAGGTGTTGGATAAGGAGCTGTATTTCCAATGTCCATTTCTCAATTGATCAACAGGTCCCCAAAAGGTTTTTTCCCATCCTCTAGAGATCTTTGGTAAAGAGATCCCCTTTCACCCTTCCTCTTTGCCATATCTGCCGAAGTATTCAATGAATCTTTGGCAAGAATGTACAGCCAAAGTCTTTTGGATGGCTTCAAAGTAGGTAGTGGAGGCCCCA